ACACGTTCCCAATACTGCTCTCTTCCAACCTAATTTTTGTTTTACATCTTCAAATATCAGACCGTCCTGTGTCTGTGACTGGTTTTTGTCCTTCCTCACATTCCAAATAAGTTGTTTTTGTTTTTCTCTCTCTAAAGTCTGTAATTGTATCGGTGTAAATGGTGGCTGGTTCTTAGGGGAGAAAAAATGTGCAAGTAGTATTTTTGTGAACATTTTCAAAGGCCGGTATATTTTAACGGGCTCCTACGGAAATGCAATATTTCTGAACGAGAAGTCAATAGCCTGTGCCCTAGATGGTCTCCTGTGTGACTCCCCAGCGGCTTGCTGCTTAGAGTTACATGATTAAAGCAGCACAGAAAGAATTGTAATGAATAAAAATGTATTGGTCATCTGATTGTTGGGTTGCCTTGTAGCACAGGAACAGGACAGCACTGGGAAGTAGGTCTCCTGAGCAACACAATGAACTCTGGGAAGGAAGGAAAAGAAGGAATGGAGCAGGAAGCATCATCCTCTCCTTTTGAACAACGTTGCTCTCAGGTGCTGCCTTTCCATTGTTACTGATTTGTTTTCTCCCCAGAAAGCTGCTTGAGAGAGAAGGAGGGACATTGCCCCGCTTCCAGGAATTCTGATGCTGGAGATGCCTGGGACAGGTAGATAAAGGGAATACATGTGTGTGCGCGTATGTATACATGAGAGTGTAGCACCTGGCTTTTGATGCAGCCCTCTGGTTCTAAACCGTTAGCCTTGCCTGGTCTAAACTATATTTATAAACTATATACAATCCGATGTTAGAATTCTGCATACGAGTCCTACATGGCACTGAGGTTCTGCAGGTTCCTTCTGCCCCTTCCTGGCTCTCCAGAGCAGTTAATCATTAACTAGTCATTACTTCCACTATCTGATGTCACATGTCTTTGAGTATCCGTGGCTGGGAAGATGAGTTGGAGAACACTATTGTGTTTATGGCCCGTTGTGGACTTTCCGTAGACCTGTTTGGCTATTGCAGGTATAACAGAAGAGAATACTGCATATGTTGCTCAGGGTTGAACTGAGCACTGATGATATTACCTAGTCGGGTGATGAAATGTCTACAAACAAACAACCAAGCTCAGAGAGCACCAAGGACTCCACAACTGCAGGTCCAGATTGTTCCAGACAGGCCTCTGGTCTGATCTAATGTAGCTTATCTTAATTTTTTACAAATTTCCCTTTCACATTTATCTTGTAGAGTGACAGTAAAGGTTATGCACATAGTCTCTGTTACTGCAATGGACTTGAGTTCAGATTAATGTACCTTTCAACTGTTTCTGATAATCTGAACATCAAACTGCTTGTGGGAAATGCATCTCAAGCAATATTTATAAAACATACAACAGAAGAAAAAAATCAGTCAATCATAGTCATGCCGACTATTATGTTGTAAGGGGTTTAAAACACAGGTGGTCAGCAATACCTTTTATCTCTGCTTGGAGAAGTTTTGTGGATTCACACTGACTGCATATGGGCTTTTCTGCTACAACGAACAGGAGATTGGAGCCAGCAAGCCTTTGTGCATGGAACAGCCTGGGGGAAAAGGGAGACGGGAAGATGAAGTGCTCTTCTCTTGCTGTTTTTCTAATTTATACAGTTGCGCTCTGCACATTCTTTGGGAGGTATGGTACTTTGGTAGTGGGATTTTTTCTTAGTAAAGAGACGTGGCTACGCACGCACGCAAACGCAGGGATGGCCAGAAACAGCTTCTGAAGCAGCCATCGTAGCTGTCCCATGCATTGCAAAGCACTTATTCTAAAGGATCTGCACAGCCACGCAAATTTGCTTTTATCCCATATTGTCACTACTCTGTTCCAACTATCACAGATCTAGTTATTTCTGACCTATACGCCTGCCCAAGTATACACCTGTAAGTATATACCTGCCCAGATATGAAATATATGCAGACTCGATCCAATATCGAAAAATGTATATGCATGTTGCATTCCTCTTCTAAAGATATCCAGCTAATGGGGATTAATAACTGTGAACTGTTTTTATTATATACTTGGAAAGGAAACATGAGAAATAATACATACATTTGCCATATCTATGTACTCAGGGTTATACCCACTTTTTATTCCTCTAGGAATTATCTACTGTAGAGATCTGAAGCTAAAATATTGTTGCATTTATAGCATGAGGCAGACATAGACACAAGCACATGTATGCATATGTGCATAGATAGATAATACAGGGGGATCGGGATGGAGGAAGTCATTAACCATTTCCTCCCCTACTATAGCTGGTCCTAACAAACATTATCCTCCCCCCAGGTATAATTTGCATTCATAACAACGCATCTACTGATGCTAACGGAAGCATAAGAAACAGCTTTAGGGTTATATTGCTAGGATTATTGCTATGTACACCCCCCAGGGCATTCTAGGAAATGCAGTTCTTTGAGGAATCCTTGGAATCTCTAACAGAATCTTACCATCATAACATTTCCCAGGAGTTTTTGTGAAAGCCATGGAAGTTAAAGCATATAAAAAAGAAGATGTCTTTAAAATGTTGGTATCGTCTCCTTGCCTAGCACAATACCAATGTCTACTGGGATGTCATTATAACATCATGATACAATCATCCATCCATTTCTATGACAGATGCTACTAACTCTGGTGCCTGTCAGTGGTTCTGTCCATTAATCCTGTTGTTTTTTCACAAGAACTGAGCTGGAGAACCAGAGCCTTACAATGTTGTGTTTACTATGAACCTTTACAACAGGGACTTTTTCTACTAACCTAGAGCAATTTCCACAGTCAATGATGGTGTTATAAGTATAGTTAACAGAGCTAAAATAGTATTGAGTTTGCTTCATGATGCAGCTGGTCTCCTTGGATTCCACACCATCTGCTGAGACATCCTCTGTTAGGACACACAACACATATAATGGGTTGTAAACTGAAGCATGAAACTTTTTTTTTTTTTGGTAATCCTTTCTAGATCATCTAAAAAGCAATTCATCTGGCTGTACTGAGCTTTTCTAAAGTTGTGCTTGAGCCAAATGCTATAGATAATAGTGCAAGAATGTATGGGGAAAAAGATCAATGATTTAACATCTATATTTCTCTTTTGCCTTATTGTTTATGTTTCTTCTCATCTACACAAACATTTATTCTTTATTGAAGAAGTATAAACATTTCTCTGATCAGTCTAGAGAGACTTTTTTCAATCAACCTTGTTAATGCTTTTCATTCTGCTTTCCTCCACTAATCTATATTGAAGCTTGATGTGTTCCCGTGCCCAACTAATTCACCTTGTAAAATTGACTTGCATCTGCTATTTTTTCCATTGCAGAAGCTCAATTCAGCGACTTCCTTATTGATGGGTCCACTCATTTCTTTTAGCATGATAGTTCAGATTTATTGGAGTATGCTTTGGTGAAGATTTATGTGTGCAGATTTTATATCCATGCCCAAAGCCTTCTGAAGCTGCACTCAGAATAACTAGGACATAATCTGCTTCTCAAGATTAAAGGCACAAAGATGGGAGATGTTTTTCAGAGACTTGAACTATTCAGTTGTACTAATGCTGCAAGCAACTCCAGTAACATAGTCAATCTCACAGTAATAGAGGAGCAACTGATGGTCATATAACGTTTAGTTTTATTTTCACTTCCTATATTAATCCAACTACAGTTAATTTATAGTGCTTGCTCCTGCCATCTCATCTTTTGGGGGCTGAAAGAAATATACAAATAGGGATTGTTACCTGTTTGAAACCAGCTGTTATAGGCTAATCCATACAAGAACTGCTGAAATAGAGACCTTGTGGAAAGAAATAGCAGAGCTATTAGGTGGCTGTAAAAGAAAACTACTGCATGTCACAATTCAGAACAAGTTCCTTGAATTAAAAAAAATCTAAAAAGATACATTTTGCTTTTGCTTTTGACATCTCCAAGTCAAAAGCAAAAAAACAAAACCAAAAACCAAAATGAATTTGTAGAGTTCTAGGGAAGATTAAAAAACAATTAAATGGCAATTTTAAATAATCTCACTAATATTTCTGTAACAGGTTCTGAGATCTATCCTAGAGTAGTTCATGTTTTGATACATCTAAGCTTATCTCATCAACTGCTTAAAAAAACAACAACAACTCACCATGCAGCTGCTGAGGTCCACCAAGCTAGGTTCAAGAAATCTGCCATGGTTGGCTAAATATAAAGAAATAAAGGAAACATGCTTTTAAACAGAACACAGTAGCTACTGGCAAGTGAATGTAGTATTTGGGAAACCCAAGCCGAGCGTACTGCTGTTTTTCATGTGTTAATGGCCTAAATATAAATCCTTAGTTCTGGTTCTATGTGAGTGCTGGGCTACCCTGAGTTTCAATTCCCTTGAGTGATCAGAGTGGCCAAGCCTGGTAGATGGGCGCCCATGTCAGAATCCTCACAATCAACTAACTACTACTTTGCTTGCTAGCTTGCTTGCTTCAGTTCTGCCATTAGAAGAAGTGGTGGTGGTGGGGAGTTGGGAAGGTGTTAGAAGCAGATGGGCTGTTATCAGAGTCCAGGAACACTCAAGGTCGTACCAATGGGCGAATGTGAGAATGTCTGGAAGGCTTAGGGGGGAGCATGAGAAGCAAAGGGGGTAAAAGTAACTTTTTGGTGCGCATGGGCTCAGTCTTAGCAATGCTTTGGACCTGCACACTTTTCCTCAATAAATGAACTTTTCTTTGAACCTCTATTGGTTGCAAGAGAGTTACTGGCATTGGGGGCTGGAAGTGGCAGATCGTTACAGCCCATTTGAAGGAGACAACTACAGAACCCAGCTGGTATTCATGGGGCTTGCTACATCAGAGTTGGCCCTTCCTAACCACTATCAGTGTTTCATCATTTACACATTCACATTTGTGGATTCTGCCCCTCAAATGGTACTAGATGGTTTGGTGTATCTCTTCTGCAGTGTATCTTTTTGCCACCCATCCCATCTAGATTCCTGCAGGGTTGTCAAATGCTTAACTAGTAAGCCTGTAGATAACTCTGCTATTACAGCTATCAACAATGTTACTACATGTTTTAATGGTGGCCAATATTGAAGGGCATACATATTGATTATCAGGATGATGCTTGAGGTAATACCACCCTGTCTATGTCCCGAAGGGCATTGTTGTGAAACAACATAGACCTCTCTTAAAAACAATAATTAAAGAGAAGAATGGAGGAGCAGTAGCAATAGAATCATTTGTGAAAGGTCTCACACAACCAAAGAAAAACAGCAGCAAATTTTACTATTGCCAAAAGGAAGGGCAGATGGAAGCTGGTCCTCCTACCTAAAAAATCAGAGCCAGGCAGTTTGGCTTGATCTACTAGGCTAATAACTCTATCAAAAAGGGTGATAAGGTTAGTCTGACACAATCTGGGCCAACTGTCAGATTGTGACAAACTCAGAGTAGAGGTTGCCTGTGTTCCCAGTCGACTTTTTTTTTTTTGGAAAGGCGTTGTCATTCACAGGGATTTTAGAGTTCTCTCTGTCTCAACTTATAATATCCTCCTCTGTCAAATGATGTGGCTTCCAATCTATTTTTGGGGGGTTCTTTGCCTTCTTTGCACCTTCTTCTTCCCCTTTCATTGACTACTTTGTAAATTTAAATACTTGCCACTGAGTGATTTGAAGCATATTTATACATGTAAACACAATGTTTCAACCAGGTAAGATCTGATAGCTTGGGAATCATGACTCACCACATAGACCCCACGTGGTGCACT